CTATGGATAAAGAAGACAAAGTAAAAGCGGAGGGATGGTGAAAGTGAGCAGGCGCAATAGACAAAGAAGGGAAGTCATAGCCTAACTGACGGCAATCCACGAGAGACCCTATAGTTAGTCCATCATTTTACCCCTTTGTCTATAGAATGCACCCGTTTCAACTGATAGGATCATTGTATGTTTCATTGTTTCCCTTGTCTCCTTTGTCTATCATTGTGTCTATCAATTCCAGTGATCAGGTTGCAGCGCCTAATCCTCCCTCGTAATAAGTATATGCCTTTACCAGACAAGAGGTTACAACGGGCAATCCAGTAGAGTACCCGCGAAAGCCATACCGAGGGTAGCCGTGAGAAAAAAGCTTGGATGGTGAAAAAGAAAAAAAATTAAATAAAAAGAAACGAGTTGGATTTTGCAATCGCTAGCGATAGCAATATTCGTCATGGGAACGTTAGCTTCTGGGATATGAAAATGTTAAGGTACAGTTCGTTTGTAGTATCTTCTGAATTGAAGGGGCTATGTAATTTTGTGTTGACATCTCTTTTTTGACATTTTTAATTATTTTCTTTGCATACAAGAAAGCTGTTATGTACCAATTATTTATTTTCGTTGGATTATATATGGTTTTCGGAAGTTAACGCATTTAAGTTTCAGGTTCGCTTTTTCGGCGTAAAGTATACATAAGGTATCCCAAAAGCACCGGGACTTGTTCTGTAACTTCGAAAGTAAGATAGATACAGATATGATCTTGATCTCATTTTAAAGATCAACTCAATACCTACTTTACGCCTACGGTTTTTAAGGAAGATTCTTCATCGCCGTAAATCGAAAAGTCGGCCGATAAAGTGATGCTTATTGTGTTTTTTTATTTTCGAGGTGTCATTTATCAACATTTTGTACCATCAAACACAACAGTTGACAGTGCGTATTATTGCAAAGTACTAAAGGAGTGGAGAATGCACATTTCCCGGAAACGGTCGGACTTGAAAGCTTCGTGAATACTCCATCAAGACAATGCGCGGCCTCACACATCGAGCTTAACACGTGAATTTATGAGTAAAAATGGAGTTGAAACAATCCCTCATCCCCCTTACAGCGCTGACTTGGCTCCATGTGATTTTTGGATGTTTCCCACGCGTAAAAAGGAGCTTCGCGGACGAAGATTCGTATCGAAGACCGAAATCCAGAATGCAATTCAAAACTTCTTCAACTCCATCCCAGAGGAAGAATTCAGGAAAACAATGTTGGATAAGTGGCAAGAGCGCATGAAAAAGTGCATCCGGTTTGATGGACGGTACTTTGTAAAGCAAAAGGAAGTTATGGAAGATTCGGAGGAAAGTGGATAGGAATATTAACTTTTTGAATCCTGGTAAGCGAAAAATCTTCCTAAAAACCGTAGGGGTAAACTTTCTTCACTAATTTCAAATTGTCATAACTCGGTCAATTTTTATTCGATTGAGCTGATCTTGGTTTTAATCGATAGGTTTGAGTTGATCTTTAAAATGAGACCAAAAGCATGTCTGTATCTATCTTACTTTTGAAGTTACAGAACCAGTCCCGGTACTTTTGGGACACCCTACGTATGATATTTTTACTCTACACACATGCCCGAATACGCATCGTAAGGGACCTATGTGCTTCCTAAGTTGCCAAGTATTAATTATTGTTAGATGATTGGTCTAAAACATTCAATACAACCAGTAAAAATTAGCTGTCCCCTACGAGATTCGAACCCCCGCTCGCACAAAAAGTGAAGCCCTCCCATAATCAGAACAGTGGCGTAGCTAACTGAGCTATCTGGCCACTCGAATGTGGATGGAGAAAAAGAGAACAGTTATGTGATCTCGGACGCTGAGCGGGGCTTCACAAAAGACGTCCACGAGATTCCAACAGTTCGGCCACTGGCGTCCTAAGAGACAACGAATTAACCGCATTACTCTGTGAGACATTGTTTACCTATGCTGTCATATGTCACAAGGTTCATCACACCATGCATTTGCGATCGCGGCGGTAAGCTGAGGCAATATTTCTGTATTCATGGATTAAATCCATCAATCGAGTTCTGATTTTGGCTCATATATCCGTAACGGGTCCTCCAGAGCAATTTTCCACCTTGTACGATGGTTATTATTTCTTTA